AGTTCTTTCAGCTCCTGGTCAGTTCCTGCCCCAGATCCAAAATGGGGACACTGAGGACAGCATGCAGCCTGCCCCAGGAGCTCACAGCCAAGGGCAGACACAGACCATGACGGCACTGGAACACGTCACTTGCTTTGTTAAAACAGGAATTTTACTCCTTTCTGGAGCCCAGAAGCTGTGATCAGGGGTAGGACCCTGCACCTGTCAGCCTGACAGTGTCACCTACAGATGGGTTGAAATAGAACAGACTCTGGGCTCTCAGTGCCCGTACCATCCAGGAGTGATGCCAGGGAACAGTGAGGGTTGGACATGTCCCCAGAATCTGGGACCAGCAGGCAGAGGAGAAGCCCCTGGGCTTAGGGCGCAGTCTCAGGGCCCGCCACTCCCTCTCAGGGTCCCTGGGGACTGAGCCCTTCTCTGAAACCACAGAGCCCCTCAGGCCGCCCCCTGGGTGCTGGCTGGTTTGCATACCCAGCAGCTCTCTCTCCAGCAAGGGGATAAGAAAGGCCTAGGGGGAAACCTGCCCAGCCTCGCCCTTGGGGAGCAGAATCGGGGCACCTCCACCATGGCCTGGATGCCCCTCCTCCTCAGCCTCCTGGCTCACTGGACAGGTGCTGCCCCCAGGATCACATCCACACCCGCCCAGGATTGGGGACAAGCCTGGCTCTGACAGAGCTAAGAAGGGCGCTGCCAGTGGGGGCAGGTGGCTGGTGGTCCTGCTGCAGGACGAGGGGCTGGAGGGGATGACATCCCACACTGTGCTCAGTCTTGTGTGAGCCCTGAGGGGCTGCACCTGCCAGAGGAAGGGGCAGGTTTCTCATTTGTTCAGGGGCTCCATCCACCAGCCAAGCCCACGGGGTCACTGGGGGTGAGACTGATGGGAGGGGCCTCAGGGGGCCCAGGTAATCCCTGGGGCCCAATGCAGGTCAGCTGCTGGGGTCTCCTGGGAAAAGGTCCTTCATCTTCAGCCCAGGGATCCTTTCTCTCCTGCAGGCTCTGTGGCCTCCTATGAACTGACTCAGACACCCTCAGTGTCAGTGGCACTGAGACAGACGGCCAAGATCACCTGTGGCGGGGACAACATTGGAAATAAATATGCTTACTGGTACCAGCAGAAGCCAGGCCAGGCCCCTGTGCTGGTCATGTACAGAGATAGCGAATGGCCCTCAGGGATCCCTTAGCGGTTTTCAGGCTCCAACTCGGGGAACACGGCCACCCTGACCATCAGTGGGGCCCAGGCCGAGGACGAGGCCGAGTACTACTGTCAGGTGTGGGACAGCAGTGCTAATGCTCACATTGACACAGGCAGATGGGGAAGTGGGACACAAACCTCCCTGCCTGGACTGGTGCTCACCCGAGTCCCCTCTGAGCAGTGGGAGGTCAGGCTGAGGCCCAGGCATATTCTCGGGTCCTGGCCACGCTCCCCCAGGGCTGCAGACACTGGCCTTTCAGAGCTGAGGTTTATCCTGATAAAAAGGGAGAACATAGCTGTTCTGAGCTTCAAAGGCTGCAGTCAGGATTGGGAGGAAAGGAAAGGTTTAGGATCAAGATGTGTGAATGTGGCCCCAGATGTGATCACGTGTCTGCGGGAGAGGGGGGTTATGTGACATGGCGGGATTCTGGGGGAATCCTTCTCCTCTGGGAGGAACCTGCTGGATGAGGCCTGGGATGAGGTCCTGTGCTTTCCTGCATGAAGAGTCCCCACCTCCTGGGGGCTGCCTGAGGCCCGGAGAGGACTGAGTCCCAGCCCCTGACCCCAGGGCCCTCCTCCCCTGAGATGTAGTATGAACTACAGACACAGGGTGGACCCGCCTGGGCTCCTCCTGCAGACCTTCTCCTGGACACACGGTGCCCCTGTTGGACCCCTGGACCAGAGCCACCAAAACTACTGTCCGATGGGTACAGACCTTCTGTTTAGGGAGATATAGATCATAATATCCAGGCTTCTCCAAGACACACAGCTAACAGGGTACAGAGATGGATTAGGAGGAATTGGTCGACAAGGTTCTGGAGTCTGAGAAGTCCCAAGAGGCACCATCAAAGTGGGAACCCCCGAGAACCTGTGCGTGATTCTGCCCCAAGGCCTGAGATCCAGGGAGGGTGACGTGCCTCTCATCCAGGGCAGGAGGGCGATGTCCCAGGGACCTGCCGGGAGACATTCTGCCCCCTCCGCCCTTTGCTCTTGCCAGGACCCCAGGGATGGGATGGAGCCCACACACATGGGGAGGGCCAATTGCTTCTCTGAGCCCCAGGTTCCAAAGGCTAATGCTCTCCTAAAACACCCCCCAACACCCCCTGATATAAATACCAGTGGGACCACCTTGTCCAGCCAAGTGGACACACGAATTCAACCATCACAGTGATTAGGGATACATTGCATGGATGGGTATTTTACTATAGTTTTTTAAATTGCTGAGTCTGAAAATAAAGTACAGGAAATGATTTTGAAGTCCTTTCACCAACGAAACAGGAGAAAGAACGGGGCAGTGATCACCATTCACCCTCTCCCTGGACAAAACAGGTGGGGTCACTGGTGCCCCATACAGTCTCTCTCTCTCTCTCCATATTCTACATATTTCAGAACCAACACTCATGTGTCCAGTTCAGCACCGCCACATCTCCCCAGAAATCCAGAACGTCTGTGACAG